GCATGAACAACACAAATGCAAAGCAGACCCTGGTCAACCAATAGTATCAGTTAGTGGGTTGAACATTTAATTTACATTTGTATTTACTTCCAGCTACTTTCTTTGCATTTTTTGAGGTCTAATAGATTCTTGCACATAGGTATGATTGGATTTTAATTATTTCACAGGCAAACCATGTGTATGTTGCCAACTCCTGTGGTAATTTCCACTTGTTTATGATAATTGTTTATTTTCTCCCTATTAGCTGTGCAGACGTTCTTGCAGAGGAAGGAGAAGTCCACGTGGCATTATGTAGAGGACAAGGTGGAACTCCTGCGGATAAGCCCCAGAGAGAATGGCACAACAGTTGGCAAGTGGTTGCCATGGCAGCCCTGGGGGGACTCATTTTAAGTGATGTATATCCATTCAGCTGTAAGGCTGTGCCAGGGTACAAGTGCACTGGATATAGGTAGGTAATAGCATAGGTCTAAGCCTTCTGCTTTTTCATCTCCCTCACTAATGATAACAAAATCTCATAAACAGACTCATAGACCCTGCCAATTAACTGATTCAGTCTGTAAAAATACTTGCTTATTTTAATAATGACAGATTTCATATTGGTGTCTATTTTGCCAGGAGTCAAGATAAGTCCTTTCATGTAGAAGGTGCTTTGAACCATGTCTTCACCAGGAGCTTACCTTTCGAAGTTTCTCAACCCAGAATCTTCAGGATCAAAGTGGGTAACCAGTGGTTTTCCTTTCCAGAACCAGAAGCACTTGTAGGAAAGTTGAACAGGTAATCAGTTATTTTGCTGGAAATCACTTCCATCTCCAGTTGTATCCTGATTGTCTTGATGGCAACCATATATTGAATGGATGGTACATAAATTGTTAGTGATGTGGGTGCTATGTTTATTTGTCAGCCTGGCCTCCTTAAGCGTCTCTAGAATTAAAAATGGTCACATTTTCTGATATATTGCAGGGATGGTGGCTGTCAGAGTTCTGAAATACACCTGTTTCTCCTTATGGTAGATGATTTCTTTGTTTCCTTTCAAGATCAATTTAAGGGTAATTCTTTTCTGTCCAGCTATTTGTATTTTTAATTCTAGCTACATTACAATTATTTACTATCTTAAGTTAGAAAAGTTATTTTTGTGTATGTTTAAACAGGGGTTTCCTGGAAGCACCTTCATGTCATCCTATCAAAACCATAAATGAGAAACTCATTGCTGAATTAGGCAAAGCTTTCCCTCTAAAAAGGCTGGAGTGTTCCTTCCCTTTGCTGCCACAGGAAGATGCCAGTGTTCTTCCTTTCTGGAATTGTGACTTTCTATCAGCTGCTTTTTGGATTAGTCTCCATGAGGATAACTCAAATTCTGAGTCCCTGACTGGTGGGACATCACAAGATGTGGAAGACTTTCTAGTGTCATTTTCAGAACTTAGCCTTCCCAAGAATCCTGGAAGAGACGGTAAAGAAGAAGCTTGTGAAGGAACCTATGGCCAGGCCAAGGTCTGCCTTAGACCTTCTCTCCTAGTGCATGTTCAGGATGTCATTGAAGTACCAGACTTCCTCTCAGGTTCTCTGCACATCCTCAGTGGACCTGTCTTTCAGAAGTGCCACATTCTGCCTTTCACAATGCCAGCATTTCATGAGACTTTATTTATCCTTGGGTTTAACCAAAATCTGAAGGATGGCTGTCTTCAATCACTGCTGGATCATCTGAAGGGCATTCTAGATAGCCTGCTAACCCAGACATTGCTGGAGAGCTCTAAGCTGAGCAGTTTAGTCGAATTTGTCCTTCAATCAAATGGAAAGGATTATATGATTTGTGTGAAGACTCACAATTTTAGCCCAGATTGTACTGAGGATCTAATTATTGGGTCTGTTACCACATCTGCCACTAGTGTTATACATAAAGACCAGTGTTTTGTGTTTGTGTCTATGAACTTGGACTTACTAGCCATGCTTGTCTGGTGTATCTCTGACTGGAGAATGTTGTGGACTTTTGATAACCGTTTCCTGAAAAATTTTGTCCCTGGGAAAATAGAACCCTTCAAAAGTCATTCTCTGTATCCTCCATGTTATGTGCATGATATTAGTTTTTGGATAGATGAGAAGAAAGGATTTGATGAACTAGAGTTTCACACTGTGGCCCGAGCAGTGTCCCAGGACACTGTTATATCCATACAGTTTCTTAGCCGTTTTCAACATCCAAAGACTCAACAGGTCAGTCTCTGCTATAGATTGACCTACCAGACCTGTGACAAGGCCCTCACCCAGCAGCAAGTAGCATCAATGCAGTCCCAGTTTAGGAAGGAGATTCAACAACGCCTATATGTTATACCTCGGTAGTTTAGTAAATCCATTTTTGCAGTGTGATCCTTCATTGCGGGGGATGTGGAGGAAAATAACCAACTTGTAACCAGTAGTCCTTTCTGGATTTTTTTTGTAAAATCTTTCACTTTGTGACCATAGCTACTGTTTGTTGATCTTTTTTTTTTTTTTTTTTTTTGAGACAGAGTCTTGCTGTGTCGCCCAGGCGGGAGTGCAGTGGCAGTGGCGCGATCTCGGCTCACTACAGGCTCCACCTCCCAGGTTCATGCCATTCTCCTGCCTCAGCCTCCTGAGTAGCTGGGACTATAGGCGCCTGCTACCACGCTGGCTAATTTTTTTGTTGTTGTTGTATTTTTAGTAGAGAAGGGGTTTCACCATGTTAGCCAGGATGGTCTCGATCTCCTGGCCTCGTGATCCGCCCACCTCGGCCTCCCAAAGTGCTAGGATTATAGGTGTGAGCCACCGTGCCTGGCCTACTATTGGTTGATCTTAAAAGATACCTTGACTCTATCACTGAAACTTATAGATTATAATGTGATTGGTGACATTTGGAGTTGTGTAATATTCTGGTCCTGAGAAGTGACTAAAACAATAAACAAAACAGCATATTGTACTTTAGATGCTCTATTGCTGAAGAGGCAGTAGAACTTAGGTGTCTCATCAAATATAAGTATGTTTTCCACACTGTCAATTACTCTTCCCTTAACTTTGTTGTATCATTTCATTAAATCACCTTATGAGAGTAGTTTTTGGAGTCAGACTAACATGTATTAGCTTGGTAAGTTGCAAATATTCCACATTAGTTTTGGTATTATTATTATCATCATCAACATTTTAATTCTGTGGTTGAAATCCGTAGAACTAATAAAGTGCCAGATTTAGGGTTAACATTTGGGTCTGTTTGACTCTAAAGCCCATGTTCTTTCTGCCACTTTCTGTTACTTCTTCCCTAGTCTTTAACAGTAATTCAACTGTGATTAAACTTTGCCTCTCTAGATTTTGGGGCCTTCTATTGTAAGTATCTCTAAGGGACACTGGAAAATTAACTTAGCCTAGGATTCTGCAGAATGCAGTATTCTAATGTGAAGTAACGTATGTTCCTGTTAATAGTTAGACTCCACATTTGGGATTATATTCTGTGAGGGACATGACTGTCTTATTTATTCTCGGAGAAAAGCATTTGGGAAGGCAAGAATGGAAGAACAGAGACAAATTAGGAGGTTATTGCAGTAATGCAAACGAGATAATGATGACCTGGACCAAGGTGGTAAAATGTTGGGTTGGATAATATTTGGAAGGACTTGCTGATGAATTAAACGTTCGTGTGTGGGTGAGAGAGGTTTGGGGTTAGAGAAATAAAGGGATTAAGTAGGACTTCTAGGTTTTTGACCTGAATACTTAGAAGACTGGAAGTGTCATTAACTGGGATGGAAACACTGCCATAGGAGTAAGTTTGGGGAGTGGGATAAAGAATCAAGGGATCTCTTATGGACGCATCTATTGCTGAGCTCTCCACATAGACTATTTTGCTAATTGATGGCAGGTAATGTGATTTATCCCTTTCTTCTATCGTCAATAGTGCTTGGTACGTGGATGAGGTAGTGTTTGAGCTGGATCTTAAAAAAGGTTAGGAATGTGAAGGGAGAATTGTTAGTCAAGTAGGGTGTGCATTTCAGGCAGAGGACATCCATGAACAGAGATAGAGATAAGGGAGCATTTGGGGGCACTTTCTAGGCTAGTTAGCTGGAATGTAAAGTGTGCATAGGAAAGTAGTGGGTTTCTACTAAGTAGGTTTGTACTAAGGTTTGTACTTAGGTTTGTACTAAGTTTAAAAAGGATAAAATACGTAAAACGCCTACCACAATGCCGTAGTAGCGATGACAGTGATGGACGTCTGGTTCAGTTTGCCGCACAGAATTTCATCAGTCTACATTCTGCCATTACCGGTTTGTCTCTCTGAAGCAGTTTTTAGCTACAGGCTGTCTCTGACACTCTCACCAAAATACAAAGAAGGCAAAGTGTTAAAAATGACATTTTAAGGACCTTTAGTAGATAGCTGCGCTATGATATTTAACTGAATACTTCACATCTTACTATGTAGATTCCTTTAATCACTTTCTGTTTTTTTCATTTAAATAGGGGAGCTGAGAGGGTTTTTTTTTGTTTTTTGTTTTTTTTTTTTTTTTTGAGAATGGAGAATCCTGAAAAGTGACGGAAAATAGGGTTGGAGGGAGGTAGGAATGGCCAGAATTAGAAGCAGGTGGATGGGACAGCCCTGATGAAGAAACTCAAGGCTCAGGTTCTATTTCTTCGCTACTCGGGGATCTGCCCCAATTGGCCCAGTAACACTATAATTTAGTCTTTTCTGCGCATGTCAAGATCTTTTGTCCCTCGGCGGACACCGTTTGCCAGCCAAAGCTATGTCGCGCTCACCGACTTCATAGGGTTCCAAATTCTGTCTTTTTTCCCCAAGCTTGCCATGGCTAGTCGAGGGGCTCGGCAGCGCCTGAAGGGCAGCGGGGGCAGCAGTGGGGATACGGCCCCCGCTGCGGACAAGCTGCGGGAGCTGCTGGGCAGCCGAGAGGCGGGCGGCGCGGAGCACAGGACCGAGTAAGTGTGCGGCGCGGCAGGGGCGTGGCCGGCCGGCCGGCGGCGCGGTTCGGGGCTGCCCCCGGGAGGGTCTTAGCAGTGGCGCGCGGGGCTCCGACAGGCCTGGCCTCCCCGCCGGAGGCCTGAGCTCCCTCTTCAGCTAGGTCATATTGCTCTTCCTGGGCGGATCAGTATTCAGTCTTCGCCCACGTTAGATCCCTCCACCGCGGGTTCCCCTCTCTTGTAAAACCGCCTTGGAGTGCGGATCTATGATGCTCTCGGGCCAGGCCTAGAGTGGGCATAGCTTCTGTGGGAGATGTTGACAGGATCAAAGAGTATACCTTTTACGGTTGTTCCTCACAGCTCCTTTTATTCTGCCTCAAGTCCCGACCCTTTACTGGGCCCATTCAACCCACCGCCACCTCTTCCCAAACCCGGGAGGCTGCAGGTTAGAACTGCATTAAGGGAGCTGTCAACATATGGAATTGGAGTAGGCTATGTACCTAGCATCTAGGTTTCTATCTGAACATAAGGGTGAATGAATAAAGCCATGAAAAGCAATGACCTTGTTAAGAAAAGAAAGAAAAGGAGAATGACAGCTTTGTGGCCCTCAAATGAGTGATTAGTTGACTTGGGATAAATGGAGTGTCATAAATGCATTGAGCTAAAGTGTATGAGTTAATTTATGCCTTAAAAGCAGGAAGTGGAAGGAGTGATTGAGATTAAAGTCAATTCTTCAGAAGGCCGAGGCAGGAGGATTACTTGAGCCGAGGAGTTTAAGTCCAGCCTGAGCAACATAGCAAGACCCTATCATAAAATTTTTTTCTTAAAAATCTGAATTCTTTATTCATTTTACTGAGAGAGAACAACTAGCCATTCACCTTTTTAGGTGAATAACTTAAGTGCTTTGATGTCTCTTGTTCTTTTTGTCCTTTCTTTCTAGATTTAGGTCTTCTGCTTAGCAGGTCCTTCCTGACATGCTTTTTTTTTTTTGCTTTTGAGCAGGTTATCTGGGAACAAAGCAGGACAAGTCTGGGCACCTGAAGGATCTACTGCTTTCAAGTGTCTGCTTTCAGCAAGGTTATGTGCTGCTCTCCTGAGCAACATCTCTGACTGTGATGAAACATTCAACTATTGGGAGCCAGTAGGTGATTTCTTTAGTTTTCTCTTTTTGTTCTTGATTTTGCAGCATAGGTGTTATTACGAATCGAGAGACAAATAATATACAAGTGTCACTCCTAGTAAAATAGATGTATTTTCTTTAAAAACAACAACAACAACAACAACAACAACAAAAAAAAAACAGGCCTGGCACGGTGGCTAACGCCTGTAATCCCAGTACTTTGGGAGGCCGAGGCTGGTGAATTATCTGAAATCGGGAGTTTGAGACCAACCTGACCAACATTGTGAAACCTTGTCTCTACTGAAAATACAGAAATTAGCTGGGTGTGGTAGTGGGCACCTGTAGTCCCAGCTACTCGGGAGGCTGAGGCAGGAGAAACGCTTGATCACGGGAGGCGGAGTTTACAGTGAACTGAAAGCACACCGTTGCGCTCCAGCCTGGGCAACAGAGCAAGACTCCGTCTCAGAAAAAAAAAAACAAAAAACAGAAATGGGGACTCATTATATCACTGAGGCTGATATCGAATTCCTAGGCTCAAGCGATCCTCTCGCCTCGCTTCGAAAGTGTTGGGGTTACAGGCGTGAGCCACTGGCCCTGGCCAGTAACATGTTTTCACTTTTGTATTCTAAGCAGATGATTTACCTGCTATTGAAGGCTGTAGGGAATTTAGCTGGTTTACACCAAGGTCTAATTTGTAATTTTCTTTTTTTTTTTTTAAATGAAAATAATACCTGGAGATAGTTTTTAAAGTTAACAAATACTAAAATACCTAAAGGAAAAACAGTAGCTTTCTATTCCACTTCTCATGTCCAAATCCTACTTTCCAGAGGCAACCACTTATTTTCACTTTCTTTTTTTTTTTTTTTTTTTTTTTGAGATGGAGTCTCACTCCACCACCCAGGCTGGAGTGCAGTGGCCGGATCTCGGCTCACTGCAAGCTTCGCCTCCCGGGTTCACGCCATTTTCCTGCCTCAGCCTCCCGAGTAGCTGGGACTGCAGGCGCCCGCCACCTCGCCCGGCTAGTTTCTTTGTATTGTTTTAGTAAAGACAGGGTTTCACCGTGTTAGCCAGGATGGTCTTGATCTCCTGACCTCGTGATCCGCCCGTCTTGGCCTTCCGAAGTGCTGGGATTACAGACTTGAGCCACTATGCCCGGCCTTTTTTTCACTTTTTAAGTTATGTCTTATGGTTACCAAAATAGTGTTACTAAATAGTATGCTTTTATTGCTATTTCTTGATTTACACATTACCTGTTGACTTCTATTATAGAAAATTCAAAGGGAAAATTTTCTGATCACATTTTGAATTAAAAAAATGAAGGAAGAATGTTAAGTGTAGGTTGTTTAAGGAAAATATATAATTTAGAGGTTTTCTGTTTTGGGTAACGAGTGTTGAGAAAAAATAAGTAGAAGGTAAAATTCAAGCTTTCAGTGTTGACCAAACAGCAATCTTGTAAAATGTATAATGTCTTAATATTTAAAATATTATATCATTTTGATTCCTTTTTTATCTATCAATTGCAAATCGCCTAGGCTGGAGTGCAGTGGCATGATCTGGGTTCACTGCAACCTCTGCCTCCTGGGCTCAACTGATTCTCCTGCCTCAGCCTCCCAAGTAGCTGGGACTACAGGCATGCACCACCATACCATGCTAATATATTTATATATATATTTTTGTAGATGTGAGGTTTTGCCATGTTGCCCAGGCTGGTCTTTAACTATGGGGCTCAAGCAACCTGCCTGGCTTGCCCTCCCAAAGTGCTGGGGTTATAGGTGTGAGGCACCGTGCCTGGCCTGCCTTTGTCTTTAATATTTCTGCTCAGAAACTTCACTTGCATCTGCTTAACAGAGATTTTTGGCCAATATAACCCTGAATCTATCTGTTTTGTATTTTTAGACACACTACCTCATCTATGGGGAAGGGTTTCAGACTTGGGAATATTCCCCAGCATATGCCATTCGCTCCTATGCTTACCTATTGCTTCATGCCTGGCCAGCTGCATTTCATGCAAGAATTCTACAAACTAATAAGGTAAGGGCAGACCAACCTGGAAGCAATCACAATTGATCAAGAGGTGAGTCTCTGGTATAGTTTTGAGAAAAGGACAAAATAGATTGGAAGTTAAAAGGGAACTTTTTTTGAAGAAGAATCATTTATTCACCATTCAACAAGCATTAATGGAACAACTTTTATTTGGTAGACACTGTATTAAGGCTGTGGCTATAACAATAACCAAGCCCCTGACTTAATGAAACTTGTGGTTTAGTGGAGAAGATGAACGTTGAACAAATCATTCTAAATATGATGGGTCTTATGGAGGAAAAGTACAATGTACAATGGAATAGCATATTAGGAGGGTCTAATTTAAGTAGAGTGCTGAGAAACATTTAGGTGTTAACTGGGACCTAACCTGATTAGTTTTCAGAAATTTGACTATGATGTGTCTTGGTGTGGATTTCTTTGGGTTTGTCCTGTTTGGAGTTTATTCAGCTTCTTGAATCTTTAGGCTTATTCCTTTTGCCAAATTTGGAAAGGTTTTAGTTTTTATTGTTTTGAATACTTTTTCAGCCCTGTTCTTTTTCCTTTTCTTATAGAACTTTGATGATGTGAATGTCAGATCTTTTGTTATTAGTCCCCCAGGTCTCTGAGACTCTGTTTTCAATTTATTTTCTCTCTGTTGTTCACATTGAGTAATTTCTGTTCTTCTGTCTTCCACTTCACTGATTCTTTCCTCTGTCCCCTCTTCCAATGTGGACCCTATCTATTGCATTTTTAGTTTGTTCTATGTATTTTTTCAGTTTTAAAATTTCCATTCGGTTTTTCTTTCTATCTTCTAATTTTTTTTTACTGAGACTTTCTCCTTTTCATTTGCTTCAGGCATATTCTTAATTGTTCACTGAAATATTTTTACGAAGCCTGCTTTAAATTTTGTCAGATAATTCTAACACCTCTGTCACCTTGGTGTTGGAATCTGTCGATGGACTCTTTTCATTCAGTTTGAGATCTTCCTGGGTCTTGGTATGACAGGTCATTTTCAGTTGAAAGCTGGACATTTTAGGTGTTGCATGATGAGCTTCTGGATTATTCATGGGCTCAGCATGCTTTCTTTGCAGTTTTGTGCTCCTTGGATCTTATTTAAGCCTTCTGTTTCAGCTGGCTTCTTTTGATACTACTTCCCACTAACCCAGCAGGAAAAGAGCATTAGTGGGACGTTTCTACCTTGTTACTGCCAAGTGGAGGTAGAACTTGAGGTTCCCTACCAGGCCTCCGCTGACATCTGAGGAAGGGGGTCCTTTTTGTTATTGGTGGGCAAGAGTAGAAGGTCTCACTCCCTACTAGGCCTTCACTGATACCACCTTACAGGTAGAGTCCAAGCATCTTGACAGATTGAAGTTGGGTATGGAAGTCCAGGCTCCTAAAGTGGTTTCCACTGACACCATGATGAAGGAGAGGCTCATTACTACCAGTGGGGATGGAAGTCCTGGCTTCCTACCTGACCTCTGATGCATGGGTAGGAGTGGGTATTTCTCCAGGGTATTTGTCCTGAATGGAGTAGACAGTTTTTGTCATGCGAGGCTACTTTTTCTTTGGTCCTTTGGCTACACAGCAGACCTTGGTTGGGTTGTTTTTGTCTTCTGTGCCCATTGGCATTTTCAGTTGCCAGCTTTTCATGCCTAGAATACACCAAGCAAAAAGAAAACCCATGGAATTTACCACTGTGTTGTTTCTCATGTCCTGAAGTCTGTAGCCAGCCTGCTTTCTTCTCTCCACCTTCAGAGTCTTCTTAGGTTGGTTTTAAATAGATTGTCCAGAGTTTCTGGTGGTTTTTTTGGTTGTTATAAATAGAGTGTCCAGGAATAGGGGAAAAGTCCATTTTCCATGAAGCAGAAGTCCCTAACTAGAGAACTGAAGGATAAGTAGAGTTGTCTAGGTAAGGGAAGAGTGGGGATGCGGGAGAAAGTTGGGAATAGTCTTCTAGACTGATGGCCCTGAGGCTGGGAAGAAGGACAGCGTGGCTTTCTTGTATAAACAGGTTTGACACTTGGAAGAGGGAATGGTGGAATAGATTAGATGAGACGAGAATTAAGAAGACACCAGATTTCTACAAGACCTGGTAGGATCTATTAAGGTATCAGACTGTTGTTCTTCTTCCCACAAGTCTGTTGTGTGAAGCCACTGAAAGGTTTTCAGACAAAAGAGAGGTATGATTGCATTTGCATTTTAGAATGTTCAGAAAGGTAGCACCTGCAGAAAGTGACAAAAATACTATCCCTCCCTTCCATATCCAGTATCTCATTTCTGTTTTTTTTTGAAATGAAGTCTCACTCTGTCGCCCAGGCTGGATTGCAGTGGTGCGATCTCAGGTCACAGCAACCTCCATTTCCCAGATTCAAGTGATTATCCTGCCTCAGCCTCCTGAGTGACTGGGATTAAAAGCTTGAGCCACCATGTCTGGCTAATTTTTTTGTATTTTTAGTAGAGACAGGGTTTCACCATCTTGGCCAGTTTGGTCTCAACCTCCTGATCTCAAGTGATCTGCCTGCCTTGGCCTCCCAAAGTGCTGGGATTATGGGTGAGAGCCACTGCACCTAGCCTCATTTCTGGGTTTTTTTTTTTTTTTTTTTTTGTTTTTTTTTGAACTTGTCAAAGGAAAGATAATAAAGGGTGAAGGGCTCAGTAGAAAACTAACAATGTGCTATGCAGAGGGTTGTCATTTCCACTTGGATATCTACTATCACTTCAAATTTTACATGTTCAACACAGAATTCTTCCTCTTCTCTAATCCTGTTACATCACTGATGTGCACAGCAAGTGAAATGGAAAGCAAGATTTCTCTCCTTCTCTTGTTCTGACTTCCGATTTCCTTTTTCCCAGCCACCTGGCAAAGGGGAATTGTAGCTTAGAGAGTCTTAGCCCCAGCATCATAACGCTGAGTAGAGAAGGATGGTTGTTTCTGAGAGATAGTGTGGTAACAATTGGCACCTCTAGTGATAACTACCTTCTCAGTCTCTTGCTACCCCAATTGAAAGCACCTTTGTATTGTCTCCTCATGGACTTGTTTGTGAATTTCTCTGAAGTGTACACTCAGGAGTGAGATCCCACACATAGACCCATGGGCTTACTGAATCTCAGAGTTCTGCCAGATTGCTCTCCAGATGGCTGTACAACTTTATGTTCTCTGCAGCAGTACTGCAGGCTCCATCTTCCTCTCCTGAGCCTTTCTCATGTATGTGAGATGCTTCTCATTTTAATTGAATTTCTGTGATTATTAGTGAAGAGGAGCATTTCTTCATACATTTATTACTCATTTAGAGCTTCCTTTCTGTGAATTACACATTCACATCCTTTGCCTATTTTTCTGTTGGGTTTTCTATTTTATTCTTCCAATTTGTAGACATTCTCAATAGTAACCCCCTATAGGTTTTAGATATTGCATATATTTTCTCTTACCTCTATTAGCTTTGTCTGTGGTCCTTTGTTGAACAGTAATCTTTAATTCAATATGATCAAACCAATCCATTGTCTCTTGTGATTGGTGGATTTTGGGTCTTTGTAAAAGAAATCCTCCTTCACCACAGGTCATAGAGATATTCTTCTGTATTTTCTTCAATTAGCTTTTGTTTTTTTTTTTTGAGATGGAGTCTCGCTCTGTCACCCACTGGAGTGCAGTGTTGCGATCTCGGCTCACTTCAGTCTCTGCCTCCCAGGTTCAAGCGATTCTCCTGCCTCAGCCTCCCCAGTAGCTGGGACTACAAGCATGTGCCACCACGCCCAGCTAATTTGTGTATTTTTAGTAGAGATGGGGTTTTGCCATGTCAGCTGGTCTGGTCTCAAACTCCTGAACTCAGGTGATCCACCCACCTCGGCCTCCCAAAATGCTAGGATTCAATTAGCTTTTAATTTTATCTTTTACATATAAGGCTTTAATCATTTGAAGTTTATTTTTATAAATTGTAGAAAGATCCAGCTTTATTTTTTGCTATATGGTGAACTGGATTTTCTAGCACCATCTACCAAATAACCCACCTTTTTCCTTCTGATTTGTAATACCACCTCTATCATTCACTTCATTCCCATATGTATATGGGTTTTTTCTGTTGTCTATTCTCTGTCATTGGTCAGTTTATTACCATATTGCTTTTATTATTATGGGTTTGTAATGTATGTCAGTATTTGGTGAATGAATTTCTTACTTTGTCCTTTCTTAAATTTGTATTTTAAAAATCATTTTAGAATCAGTTTGCCACTCACCCAAATTCTGCTAGGTTTTGATTAGAGTTGTACTAAATTTACCTATTATTTTGAGAATGAATTATTTTATTTTATTTTATTTTATTTTATTTTATTTTATTTTTTGAGACAGGGCCTTGCTCTTCTTACCAGGCTGGAGTGCAGTGGTGCAGTAATAACTTTTTTTTTGAGTTTGAGGTGCAGCCTCAAACTCGTGGGCTCAAGGAATCCTTCCATTTCAGCCTCTTGAGTGGCTAGGACCACAGGTACATGCCACCATATCCAGCTAATTTTTAATTTTTTGTAGACTTGGAGCCTCACTATATTGTCCATGCTGGTCTTCAATTCCTGGCCTCAAGCACACGGCTTGCCCCAGCCTCCCAAAGGGTTGGGATTACAGGCGAGTGCCACTGCACTCAGCAGAATTAATACTTTTACAGTGTTAAGTCACTCTGTCCTAAAATGATACATTTATCCATTTAGCCAAGTTTTCTGTGTCTTTTAATAAATTTTTTTTAATTAACCCTGAGTAGCTGGGGTTACAGATGCCCGCCACCATGCGTGGCTAATTTTTTTGTATTTTTAGTAGAGATGGGGTTTCATCAGGTTGGCCAGGCTGGTCTCGAACTCCTGACCTCAGGTGATCCGCCCGCCTCGGCCTCCCAAAGTGTTGGGATTACAGACGTGAGCCACCGCGCCCGGCCAGTTATAATATATATTAAGTAGTGTTTATGTTTTGAGAAATTCAGTGCTCTTAACCATATGGTATAACCCATATTTTATTATTTTTATTTTTTAAATTGATTGTTGTCAATTATAAAATTAATAAAACCACATTACAGAACTTTGGAAGATAGGAGGAAAAATACTCACCTAAATCTACCAGGTTGTTATAACTACTTTTACCATTTTATTACATTTCTTTCCAGTCTTTCCATATGCATATAGTGTCCATAGCTATAACTGATGTATAAATAATATTGTATTGTACATTTTCACTTAATATTTTGTCATAATCACTACCTGATGTATTATGGTTGTTGAAGAAGTGCTTCTTGAATGAATGAGCATTATATTGCAAGAATGTTTTCATTGTCTTTGTAACCATAAATTTTAATATCTGTATAATTGTCCATGAGCTAGATGTAGCCTAGTTTATTTAATCATTTCCCTATAATTGAATATTTTGTAGTTTTTGAAGCAGTTTTTACTAAAACTGCAATTAACATTTTTGTGAATGGAGCTCCACCTCCCAACCCCCACCAGCTGGAGTGATAGAAGTAGGTATTCTGATACTGAGTCAAGGGATATGAAAATTCTTAGTCCATGTTGCTTTTTAAAAGAATTATACCAATTTACAGTGTTATTGACAATAAATGAGAGTGGTTCATGTTTACGAGTTTTTCTAGCTCATATCTGTGACTTCTGTTTTCTTTTTCTGGGTTTCTTTCAGATTCTTGTGTTTTACTTTTTGCGATGTCTTCTGGCTTTCGTGAGCTGTATTTGTGAACTTTACTTTTACAAGTGAGTATAAAAACTTTGCTTCTAAAAATGCTATGAGGAAACCCATTATTGCATAGATTATCTCTTGTGATAGTCTAGGCAGTGATTAGAAATAGAAAACACTTTGCCGGGTGTGGTGGCTCACACCTGTAATCCCCGCACTTTGGGAGGCCGAGGCAGGTGGATCACCTGAGGTTGGGAGTTCAAGACCAGCCTGACCAACATGGAGAAACCCCATCTCTACTAAAAATACAAAATTAGCCGGGTGTGGTGGTGCATGCCTGTAATCCCAGCTACTCAGGAGGCTGAGGCAGGAGAATCACTTGAACTCGGGAGGTGGAGGTTGTGGTGAGCTGAGATTGTGCCATTGCACTCCTGGGCAACAAGAGTGAAACTCCATCTCAAAAAAAAAAAAAAAAAAAAGAAGGAAAGAAATAGAATACACTTTCCTTCTAGCTCCTGATATATATATCATATATATATATATATATATTTTTTTTTTTTTCTGAGAAAGAAAACTTTTTTTTTCATACTGAGTTTTATTGTATGCTGCTGCCAGTGTAGATAAAACAATTACCCTTGTGAAATAGAAATTCATGAAAATTCAGAGAGGTAGATATTAAAGACTGACGGAAGTAGAAGTTTGTATAGTATGGCACATGTGCTACAGGGATAAGCTTTTGTACAGACTTCAAATTTAGCTCTGTTTTGAATATCCACTGGATCTTAAGAAGTGGTTTGGGAAACTTTTGAAAGATTCATTTTACTACAAAAAAACAGATTTTCTGGGGTCTGAAGGGATTTGTACTTGAAGATACTCCAGTCAGCAGAAGGTCGTGTTGAACATTCCGCAGACGGAATTGTTTCAAGTCTGCAGCTGCCTGCGAAACTTTTATGCAGCTGACCCTGGCCTCCAGCCGGGGCTGTTGAACCATTTTCTTCATAGCGGCGATGCTGGAGGAGTCAGACGTGGTGTCCGTGAGGGCCAGGCCAGTTTGTGGGTTGGTGGGTCATGGGTCAACAGAGCCTGTCTGAAAACTTCTTGCTTTTATTTATTTTTCTCTTCTTTTTCTTTTTTTAATTTTTATTTTTATTTCAATAGTTTTCGGGGTACAGGTGGGTTTTGGTCATATGAATAAGTTCTTTAGTGGTGATTTCTGAGATTTTGATGCACCCCTCACCTGTAGCTCCTGATATTAAATCTGAAGTGTGACTTCTTGTTTGAAACCAACAGTTGAAGAGGAACACTATACTTCTAATTATCATTTTCTTTCCTGAGGTCATAAATACCATAACCTTACGTCATTCATTTTAATTCTGTTAAAAACTATCTAACTGGTCTTTACTTGATAGGATTTAGTAGAACTCTACTTTCGGTCCTAAGATACAGGATCGTGATTTGCCTCTGCCTTACAACTTAGTTGATAAACTACTCCCAGTGTGGGATATCACTGCTCTTATTTGCACCCAATATATTGTCTTTCACCAAGTATCTATCAGTTGATTGAATATTAGTTGGGACTATTAAGCATTTAAGTGTCCCGGTAATAAAAATAGCCACCTTTTTTACGTGATTAACTAACAAACGTCTTATTTTAATAATGCTTTAGTAATATATTTAAAGGTATTTGGACTTAGTGATCATTATTAAAAGTCTTCCCACAGCTAAAAATGTCAGATTTTAAAAAATCTTTACCCTTGACTCTGAGTGGAGTGGAGGGAAAAAAAGTAAAGCTAGTACTGCCTTTGAGAATTGTAACCATAAATTGGTCTTCATATGGGTTTGGGCCTGAATTCAAATCACCTACATGGTCTTTCAAGCCCTAAACTGAGAATTTATTTTATTATATATTTTTTATTTTATTTTTGAGACTGTCGCCCAGGCTGGAGTGCAGTGGCATGATCTCGGCTCACTGCAACCTCCGCCTCCCGGGTTCAAGCCATTCTCCTGTCTCAGCCTCCTGAGCAACTGGGGCTACAGGTGCACACCCCCACGCCTGGCTAATTTTTTGTACCTTTAGTAGAGATGGGATTTCACCATGTCTCGATCTCCTGACCTCGTGATCTGCCCGCCTCGGCCTCCCAAAGTGCTGGGATTACAGGTGTGAGACACCAGGCCCAGCCAAGAATTTATTTTAAATTGTTCTGGGTTGGTAGTGCCCCTGGCATCTGGCAAAAATTTCTCTAGAGAAATGGACCTTTAACCCAAGTGTCTGAAAATTACCAGAGATAAAGTTCTAATGAACAAGAAATTATAATAAAAATAAATCAGAGCACAGAAGGGATCAAAACATTATGAGTGAGAATAGAATGTTGACCTGAAAAACTTCATTTCTTGAGAAATAGGAATATAAATAAGTATATTTAACATTTTCAAACAAGTAAAAGAACCGAAAACATGAACGAGAAACGAGATGACCAAATAAATTAAAAAAAAATCAGAACTTACAAGATCATATAAAATGTAATATTATATAATATCAATAATATATATATAATATTTATACTTAAAACTCAGTAGATAAACAGCAGATTAGACATTCTGATGAGTAAACTAGTAAATTGGAAGATTGATTTAAATAAATTACTCAAAATGCAGTACAGAGAGACCAAAAAAAAAAGGTAATATAGAAGAGGTTAAGAAATGTGTAAACCGCAGCTGGGTGCAGTGGCTCACGCCTGTAATCCCAGCACTTTGGGAGGCTGAGGCAGGTGGATCACTTGAGGTCAGGAGTTTGAGACCAGCCTGGCCAACATGGTAAAACCTCATTTCTACTAAAAACACAAAAATTAGCCAGGCGTGGTGGCGCATGCCTGTAGCCCCAGCTACTTGGGTGGTAGAGGCACAAGAATCACTTGAACTCAAGAGATAAAAGTTGCAGTGAGCCAAGATCATGCCATTGCACTCCAGCCTGGACAACAGAGAGAGACTCTCTCTCAAAAAAAAAAAAAAAAAAAAAAAAAGAAAAGAAATGTGTAAGCCAGAGTTGAAAGAACTGATATACATCTAATCAGATTGTAGAAGGAGATGACAGAATGGGGAGAGGCGATATTCGGGGTATTAATAGCTGAGAATTTTCCAGAAATGATGGGAAAAAAAAAGATGCTAATCCATAGATTTAGTAAACCTAACATATCCCAAGCTAGATACAAGAAAATTAGTGTAGTGAAACTGTGTAAAACAGTAGAGACAAAAAGATTTTAAAAGTTGTCAGAGGACTAATAGAATACCTACAAAGGAGTGTTAGGTAGTTATACTGACAGAAGACTTTTTAACAGCCGGAAGACCAAAAAAGAATATCTTCAAAGTGCTGAGAGAAAATAACTCTCATCCTAAAATTGTATATTAGGTTAAGCCATCTTTTAAGACCAAGAGCTAAATACAGATTTTCAGTTAAAAAAAATGAGAGAGAGAAAGGAAAACAAAAAAAAAAAAAAAAAGGAAGAAGCTTGTAATCCCAATGCTTTGGGAGACTGAGGCAGGAGGATCATTGAGGATTGCTTGAGCCCAGGAATTTGAGATCAGCTTGGGCAACATAGCAAGACCTCATCTCTACAAAAAATGAGCTGGATATGATGGCACATGCCTTTAGTCACAGTTACTCCTAGCCATTCGAGAGGCTGAGGCAAGAGGTTCCCTTGAACACTGGAGTTCAAGGATACAGTGAGCTATGACCATGCCACTGCACACCAGCCTGAGCGACAGAGAGTATGACCCTATCTGTGGGGCGGGTAGGGGGATGGGAGGGAAGAAAGGAAAGAAAAGGAAACCAACCAACCAAAAAGACAGAATTTATCATTAACAGATTCTCACTAAAAGAACTTCTAAAAGAGATACGTAGGAAAAAGCAAAATTATTTCAGAAAGAAGCTCTGAAATGCAGTAACGAATCTGAGCTGGGAAATGATGAACACACGGATGTGTCTGAACAAACATTGACTAAGCAAAGCAGTAGTAATGCCTAAATACGTTTAATTTGCGGGGTTCACACCTACGAGAAAGAAGTAGAAGAAGATATGTAATTACTTAAGTTTGAGAAACACTGGTTTAGATAACCACTTATTCACATTTTCATCTATCTCCTAGCCTTTTTTTTTCTGACAACTACCGTTTATTGAGCAACTGTGTGCCAGACACTCTCCTAAGCACTTTTCCTTGCATTGTCCTCACAGAAACCTTACAAAGTTTGTGTTATTATCCTTATTTTATGCTTGAGGAATCAGACAGAGAGATTATTCAACCAGAGTAGGCTTCCAATGCTAGTAAGTGGCAGAGCCAGAATTTGAATGTGTGCCCACCTGAATCTAAGGTCTATTATTTTTCACCACATCATTCTATTTTCCACTTGATAGATATAATCTTAGCATGTAAAGAATACATTTTATTTTAGGTAGAGAGCTTCTCTTCTGTGTCAGAAACAAGAATGTTTGGGTTTCTTATGCACAGTGAATTGCTAACAAACCTGTCAAGGTAGTTTTGTGTTTGACTTTAGATCTTGAGTGTTACCTGTGGTGCATGTTTTTCTCCTTCGATTTGAGATGTGTATTCCTAATATTTTCCATGCTGATAATCTTGTGTTTTTCCTAGGGCTGTGTGCAAGAAGTTTGGGTTGCACGTGAGTCGAATGATGCTAGCCTTCTTGGTTCTCAGCACTGGCATGTTTTGCTCATCATCAGGTAAGTAAAAGGGGAGATAAGGGAATTGCACATTCACCAATAGTTGACAGTTGCATTTAAAGGAAGCACTTGTCCAAATGTAGGTTATATTTGTAGAACATGTCAATAATTTGCAGAGTGCTGTTATCTACATTATCTTGATTGAACTTTGTAACAGTCCTACCATGTGAGAAAAATATTTTCTTACTTTTGCAGGTAAAGACATTGAAATGTAGATGAAATGATTTACTAAAAGTCAAAATTCATAAATGGTAGAGCTGATAGTCTCCCCAGGATGTTTTTTATTCCATTCTTGCATCAACCACCCACTTCCTTTCTTGGCCATTAGGGGAAAGAAAGTAATTCTTTTATTTTGTTTAAGGAAGTTATTTGTACATAAAGACCTTGTTGTTCATGGTTCTGTTTTCCACTGATGATACATTATTTGAGATATATTCTATGTACATCTTTTGTTGGGCTTTCTTTTGGTAATAAGCTTCTGGAAATTTAGAATAAAAACCTCACTCTAGAGCATTGGCTTTCAGACTGTGCTGCCATTGAACACTTGTGTTGTATAAGCTGAATCAAGGTGGCCCACTGCCAAATGGTAGTCTATTCCCAGTTCTCCAGAAAAATTAAGTTACTGGATATAATTGTCTCAATTTTAGTTTCTGCTTGTGTGTTCCCAGATCTAGTATATACACTGAGTATATGCAGAAACATAGTATCTGGCACGAAATTACATACTTACTTTTCCCATATTGAATATATCAGAATTGATGTTCTGCAGAGATGTCAGGGCTGTACTCCAGAGTGACTCTGAGAGCCTGTCCTAAATACATCTGTGCTCTACCTCAGATTACTCTGCTCCCTTTGTCCTGTACACTGCAGCTGGAACTGACAGCTTTGGATGGCATCACTATTATTTGACATTTACTGGTAAAGGGTATACCTCACATGTTTTTAAAGTTGCTTTGCTACTTCTTTTCTTTTTTTTTTTTTTTGAGACAGAGTCTTGCTCTGTTGCCCAGGCTGGAGTGCAGTGATGCCATCTCGGTTCACTGCAACCCCCTCCTCCCAGGTTCAAGCGATTCTTTTGCCTCAGGCTCCTGAGTAGCTGGGATTACAGGCACGCGCCACCGCGCCCAGCTAATTTTTTTATTTTTAATAGAGATGGGGTTTCACCATGTTCGTCAGGCTGGTCTCAAACTCCTGACCTCGTGATCCACCCGCCTCAGCCTCCCAAAGTGCTGGGATTACAGGTGTGAGCCACTGCAGCCGGCATCTTTTCTTTCAAGTGACAAAGTCTTGCTCTTCATCTAGGCAGGCTAGAGTGCAGTGGCAGAATCATAGCTCACTGCAGCCTTGAATTCCTGGGCTCTAGCAGTCTTTCCGCTACAGCCTCCCAAGTAGCTAGGACTATAGGCATGCATCACCATGCCTGGCTAGTTTTAAAATTTTTTGTAGAGATGGAGTTTCACTGTGTTGCCCAGGCTGGTCTCGAACTCTTAGTCTCAAGCAGTTCCCCTACCTTGGCCTCCCGGAGTACTGAGATTAAAGACATGTGCCACTGTGCCTGGCCTGCTACTCCTACAATTGATCTTTATATGTGGAAAATTCCTGAGAATATCTTTAGTTTTGTAATCTCATTTGAGACACAGATAAGTTGAAAGCATCTTTTCATACAGAGCCTCTGAACCCTTTGCTGAGTTTAAAAAAACCTCACTCCTATTAATTGTGGTTGTTTTGTAGTTGATACTGATTTTTCTTCCCTACTGAATCAGACTTTCTGCAGCGGAAGAGAAAGATATGCATTTTTGTTCAGAGTTACTAGAAACACTTTAATCAATTGTTTCTGTTCCAGAGACCCTGTCTGTCCTCTGCTGTATACAACAACAAGGTTGAGGTAGATGGAACTAATTAGGGGGCTATCTAAAGGTCAGACTATCTGTGTCAGCAGATGGAGGGTGCAAAGCATTGCTGCCATACAATATCTGGCCCTTGAGGAGGCTTTCTAGAATTTCCTGGGCTAGAGTTTAGGACCAGGACAGTCTCAGAAGACCAACGGAAGATAAAGAAATTGTCAACAATGGCTCTAAGTCTTTCAAAGCATATTCCCTTCCTGGAAATATCATGGGGTGTTCCTGGGGAGCATGGAATTTTGTGAGTTTTTGATTTGAGGTTCAGGTTGGGAGAGGAATTACATGGTTAGAATTGTATAATTGGGTTGGTACCTAAAAAAACAGGAGGGAGAGGCCAGGCACGGTGGCTCATGCCTGTAATCCCAGTACTTTGGGTGGCCGAGGTGGGCGGATCACGAGGTCAGGAGTTCAAGACCAGCCTGGCCAACATGGTGAAACCCCGTCTCTACTAAAAATACAAAAATTAGCTGGGTGTGGTGGTGTGTGCCTGTAATCCCAGCTACTCGGGAGGCTCAGGCAAGAGAATTGCTTGAACCAGGGAATTGGAGGTTGCAGTGAGCCGAGATTGGCCACTGCACTCCAGCCTGGTGTTAGAGCAAGACTCCGTCTTAAAAAAACACAAAAAAACAAAAACCAGGAATGAGAAAATAAGAGTCATTGAACTTCTTTTTTTTTTTTTAAAGGAATATCACTTTGCTGTCCTTTCTAATATAGGATTTCCCAAAATATATACCTACATTTTACACTGTAGGTAAATTTTTAATCAGTTTTTAATTGATACCTAATTAATCTCGAGCTCTTGTCCTCCTACCTTTTTTCACTTCTTTACTTTTGCAGCATTCCTTCCTAGTAGCTTCTGTATGTACACTACGTTGATAGCCATGACTGGATGGTATATGGACAAGACTTCCATTGCTGTGCTGGGAGTAGCAGCTGGGGCTATCTTAGGCTGGCCATTCAGTGCAGCTCTTGGGTAAGAAACTAACAGTTCTTCTCCCATGTATCTCTGGGCATATAGTAAACCTTAATGTTGGATTAGCTCCATATTATCTGAGTAGAATCTGAAGTTAATCAATTGGGCTTTCAAAGATTCTGGGAAATGGAAGAATATTTCTCTTAGCACTTACTATTATGATTAATTCTAATAAGAGTCATGACCATTGAGCATCTGCTATGCGTTAGGCACAGTGAAACCCTTTGTAAACCTTATCTTGAAACCTTACAACAACTCTGCAGGAGAAATACAATTATTAGTGCTTTATAAATGAGAAAGTAGACTCTGAGAGTTTGAATAATTTACCTTTAAGATTATGTTTGCTTTTGAATCCAGGCCTTTTTGACTCTACTGCTGATGTTTTCTCCACACGGCACCACCCTGTTCTGTGAATTTTTTCACTCACTCAGGTTTGAAATCTGAGTTTTCTCCCGTCTTCTTTCTTTCTTTATTTTTATTTATTTATTATTATATTTGAGATGAAGTTTCACTCTTGTTGCCCAGGCTGGAGTGCAATGGCATGATCTTGGCTCACCACAACCTCTGCCTCCTGGTTTCAAGTGATTCTCCTGCCTCAGCCCCCAAAGTAGCTGGGGCTACAGGCATGTGCCATCATGCCTGGCTAATTTTGTATTTTTAGTAGAGACGGGGTTTCTCCATGTTGGTCAGGCTGGTCTTGAACTCCCAACCTCAGGTGATCCACCTGCTTTGGCCTCCCAAAGTGCTGGGATTACAGGCGTGAGCCACTGCACCTGGGCCAGTCTTCATTCTTGCCCCCAACATCTTTTTTTCCACCAAGCTCCTTCTATACTCTTTGTTCCCACTACTTCTGTTCTAGTGTGTGCTGCCTTAATTTCTTACCTGTACTACAGGTAATTTAGGAAAATGTTTTAATATGATGTTAAGGTTGTTTTAGAAGGATTATATCTTTATTGTAAAAATAAAAGTAAGTACCAGATTGTCTAAGGTAAAAATAATTCCTAATTTTCTTCTCTGCTAGCTCAATCCTCAAAGATAGTCACTGCTAATAGTTTGGTATATATCTTTCCAGAAAAATTATCCTGTGTGTATAGATATTTGTATACATACCAATCTACATTCTTACATGGAATTATTCTGTATATATATAGGTATTCTACATATTAATAGATTTATATCATTGTTTATATTGGTTGCATAACATTCCGTGGTTTACTTAACTATTGCCTTATTGGTAGACATTTGGTTTTCATTTTTTTTACTGTTATACCCAATGCCTCAGTGAACAATTTTTTTTTTTTTTTTTTTTTTTTTTGAGATGGAGTCTTGCTCTGTCACCCATGCTGGAGTGTAGTGGCACGATCTTGGCTCACTGCAACCTCTGTCTCCCAGGTTCAAGCAGTTCTCCTGCCTCAGCCTCCCAAGTAGCTGGGATTACAGGTGCATGCCACCACGCCCGGCTAATTTTTGTGTTTTTAGTGGAGATGGGATTTTACCATATTGGCCAGGCTGGTTTCAAACTCCTGACCTCGTGATCGCCTGTCTCGGCCTCCCAAAGTGTTGGGATTACAGGTGTGAGCCACCGTGTCCGGCCCAGTGAACATTATTATACAGATATCTTTGTGCACTTATGGAAATTTACCTATGGGGTAAATTTTTATAAGGGGAGTTACTGAGAGAATAGGCCATTTTAAATTTTCTTAATTGCCTTTTAAAGGCTGGTTTCCATACCTCCATTCCTTTCTTCTATTCTATTTTGCACATTCTCAGATTTTCATATTCCTCAGGATTGTATCTTAGGCCCTCTTCTGTACTTTCTACTCTCTCTCAGCCATCTTGGTGATTCCCATAGCTTAATGTCTAGTCCAGTTATCTCTCTTGAGCTTCATTCATATATTCCCAGCTGCTTAGTAGATAGCTGCTGAATTCATTATCTTCTCTCCATAGCTGTTCCTTTGCTCGTGTTTCTATTCCAGTAAATAGTACTGCTGTCTCCTCAATACTGACCCAGAAACCTAAAAATTGTCTGTGCTCTTCTCTCTTTCCCATCCCTGTTAATTGATTGTATCTCCTGAATATCTTTTGAATCTGATTACTTATCTTCACTCCTCCTTGTTCCTGGATCACTACACGGCCTCCTAAATGATCTCCTTGTCTCTAGTATTGACCCCTGTAAATCAGTTCTCCAAACTCACTAGAGTTATGTTCCTCAAATGCAGATGTGGTTGTATCACCTCCCTGTTTTAAACTCTGTGGTAGCTTCTCCATTGCTTTATGTCATGAGGGTTGGCTGACTGACCTGTTTTTGTACAGCCCAACAACTAAATAGTGTTTACGTTTTTAAAGGGTTTTTAAAAAACAACAAACACACACAGAGGAGGAAGACTATGCAACAGAGAACATACGTGGCCTGCAAAGCCTAAAATATATACTGTCAGGTCCTTTAAATAAAAGGTTTGCCAACCCCTGCCCTGTGGTATCCAGACTCAAAGATAACACACAACGCCCTGCGGTCTTCCTTTTACTTCTCCAGCTTCTTTTTGTCAGTTCTTCCATTCCTTTCATTCTCTATTCCATCTACATTGAATTTCACTGAGTTCCTCAAATAGCTCTTGGGTGCCACATTTCGATGAGTCCACCTTTACCAAGATAAGTGATTTCAGGATCACAGTCAGTTAGCAATCAGTATACTGTCATTCATTGAATGCTTTGTGCTAGATACTACTGATATTTTAGAAATTAGATAGTCATGCTTCCTGCCCTTTTGGAACTTAACAGTTTAGTAGGAAAGACAGATATTGGACAAGTAATTAAAAGTATGACTTATCAAAGGAGAAATACAGGTACTATGGAAATGGAAGGAGTTGGGGTGACAAAAAATAAAAACAAAATGTTAATGCAGAATTTACGTAACAACATGGAGGTTCAAATCACAGAAGAGGTACTATGACAGCACACAACATTGCTAAATCAATGATAGAGATGATGATGCCATATAAAATCAAAGATGGGGCCAGGCATGGTGGCTCATGCCTGTAATTCCAGCACTTTGGGAGGGTGAGACAGGCAGATCTCCTGAGGTCAGGAGTTTGAGACCAGCCTGGCCAACGTGGGGAAACCCCGTCTCTACTAAAAATACAAAAAAATTAGTGGGGTGTGGTGGTGCACGCCTATAGTCCCAGTTACTTGGGAGGCTGAGGCAGCAGAATCGCTTGAACCCAGGAGGCGGCGGTTGCAGTGAGCCAAGATCATGCCGCTACACCCAGCCTAGGTGACAGAGTGAGACTCTGTCTCAAAAAAAAAAAAAAAAAAGTTAGCTGGGGCTGATGGCGTATGCCTGTAAGTCCCAGCTACTTGGGAGGCTGAGGCAGGAGAATGCTGGAACCTAGGAGATGGAGGTGGTAGTGAGCCGAGATTGCACCACTGCACTCCAGCATGGGCAATAGAGTGAGACCCTGTCTCAAAAAAAAAAGTCTGTAATAACATTATTACTAAAATCCTAGTAAATCATGGAAGGGAGAGGTTAGTACTTACTTCTTTGGCAGGGTGGGTGTAAGAAGTAGGGCACATAGGCCAGGTGCGGTGGCTCACGCCTGTAATCCCAGCACTTGGGGAGGCCGAGGCACGTGGACTGTGAGGTCAGGAGATCGAGACCATCCTGGCTAACACAGTGAAACCCTGTCTCTACTGAAAATACAAAAAATTAGCCAGGGCTGGTGGCGGGCACCTGTAGTCCCAGCTACTTGGGAGGCTGAGGCAGGAGAATGGCATGAACCTGGGAAGTGGAACGTGCAGTGAGCCGAGATCACGCCATTGCACTCCAGCCTGGGAACAGAGCGAGACTCCATCTCAAAAAAAAAAAAGACAGTAGGGCACATATACTTATATTTTAAATTTCCGTTACCCATAAATGTGTATCAAATGGAATTAATTCCAGCAGCTCAGTAATTCTATTTCTTGTGCATCCATGGGATACAGAGCACTTTGATGGGTCCTGTGAGGACATCCTCTCACATACCAGGTTTCTTCCCTCACTATAACTGACAGAGGCATTTTATGCTCAGTTCAGCTTGAGGTAGGTGTGAATCTGACCTGTCTCTGTCAGTATTTATTTAACTCCCCACTGTCTGTTTCTCTGTTAAATAGTTTACCCATCGCCTTTGATTTGCTGGTCATGAAACACAGGTGGAAGAGTTTCTTTCATTGGTCGCTGGTGGCCCTCATACTCTTTCTGGTGAGTTTTCTTTTTTACTTGTTTTGTCCTAAAGTTGTAATGAAAGCAACTTTGATGTGAAGAAAGGAACATTAGGAGTTTATTCTGTTTTTCATTCTCAGGTTTATACTATTAGCATTTTGAGAATGTTTCCAGAGCAAAACTATTTTCTGCTCTGTTTTAGGTGCCTGTGGTGGTCATTGACAGCTACTATTATGGGAAGTTGGTGATTGCACCACTCAACATTGTTTTGTATAATGTCTTTACTCCTCATGGACCTGATCTTTATGGTAAGGCTTTGTGAAATTTGGGCAAGTGTTAGGAGATGGCTTAATTGCCTGAACTTCAACATTTTAATTCAGTTGCCTCATTTCATTACATATAGCAGTTCTTTGCTGATTTTATCTTTTCCTATATAAAAATGACATCTGAGTATAGCACAATGATGACACGTAGCCACTCAAATATTTCTCCTTGATTAATGTGATATTCCAATACTGGCTCTCTATTTTTCCTGTTTGTTATTTTCACTTTCAGAATTTTGAGGACTCGGGGTATGCTATGGCTTTTGATGCTTTTTTATTTTTAATTAAAAGTTACTTTTTTCTCTTCTTATTAAAAAATCAGTATGCTAGGAGAAGAAAATAAAAGCATAATACTCTCATATCCATATAACTATTACTAACACATGGGAGTATACCCCAGACATTTTTGTTTGTTTGTTTGTCTGTTTTTTTGAGATGGAGTTAGACTCTTGGTGCCTAGGCTGGAGTGCCATGGCATGATCTTGGCTCACTGCAACCTCCACCTCCCGGGTTGAAGCAATTCTCCTGCCTCAGCCTCCTGAATAGATGGGGTTACAGCTATTAGCCCGCCACCATGTCTGGCTAATTTTTTTTGTATTTTTAGTAGAGACAGAGTTTCTCCATGTTGGCCAGGCTGGTCTTGAACCCCTGACCTCAGGTGATCCACCTGCCTCGGCCTCCCATAGTGCTGGGATTACAGGCATGAGCCACCATGCCTGGCCCAGACATTTTCTATATATACACACATTTGATGTTATTTTTTCTCTTCCAGATTTGCTTTACTTCAATTCCAGCATTTGGGGAGAAAGTTTGGAAAATCTGTAGACAAAGTTACAGTGAATGGGGCTGGTCTGGGGTCAGCATGGGAGGGTGGGGAAGTTGATGAGCTTAGGGTTAAGAGAAAAAATGGAATGCCTTTAGTCTGGGGATGCCGTCTTCAGTTTACCCCATCTCCACTGCTTCCCTGATGCCTTTCACTCCACCAGCCAGTTTCATTTGGCCCCTGAAGGAATTTGAGTTAGTTACAGTAATTGGGGGATGAGCTAGAGATCTTTTGGATCAAATCAGCAAGGTCAGCAAACATTTCATGAGAGAGGCAGTTTTTTCATTAAAATAATTATAGTTTCTTCGGCCTTAATCTTTTGAGGGTCTTGGAACATTCTGTATAAGTGCTTGCTTTGGGGTTCTGCTATGAAGCAGGTTAAGATTGTGTCTATCTGTACCCGTATCAATTTAAATCTTATCACTAGCCATGTCCATCATTTGCTGTGCCATTTTGCCAATAGAGCCAACAGATTGAATAAGGAGATTTAAAGTAAGAATATGAATGAGATTTACTTGAGTCTCCTGGAATTTTGGGAATATTATTCTAGATGGCAAGTAATAGGTTAAGATAAGCAGTGCTTTGTTCAGTGGATTGAATTCACAAACTGCACAGTTAGAGAATAATTACTAAGTGAAAGAACTTTAAAAAAGCTCCTTTATGGCTCTAAGACCCCCAGGGATGTGAGAAAAGGCCCCAGTGTTAAGCTTTTGCCTCTAGATGTCTCCCTTTAGCTAGGGAGAGTTTGCATGTTTGTGGTTGCCTCTTGTTTTAGTTTACTTGTAAAATTTTATTCTATTTCACAAGACAATAAAAGATCTTAGATCTAGATTGCACAGTAGAAATTGTTTCACAGAGGGCCCATTAGAAACACAATATCTACTCTGTATGGGTGAATAAATTGAGTTAATTTATGTTAATTTTGAAAAATTGACTTCTCCACCTTTATGATGGGTTACTGATATTCTGACTCCTTATTTATAAAACCCTTTTGTGAGAGACTTATGAAAGTGACAGATGTTTTTGTATCCCTCTGGATTGATGAATCTCTCTCTCTCTATTTATTTATTTATTTATTTTTGAGACGGAGTTTCACTCTTGTCACCCAGACTGGATGCAGTGACGTGATCTCTGCTCACTGCAGCCTCTTCTCCTGGGTTCAAGCAATTCTCCTGCCTCAGCCTCCTGAGTATCTGGAATTATAGGTGCCCGCCACCACACCCTTCTAATTTTTGTATTTTTAGTAGAGACCGGGTTTCGCCATGTTGGCCAGGCTGGTTGCCAACTCCTAACCTCAGGTAATCCACCAGTCTCGGCCTCCCAAAGTGCTGGGATTACAAGCATGAGCCACCATGCCCAGGGATGAAACTCTTAAATATAGGAATAATCAGACTGGTAGGGAAAGTAGGAAAGAAGGAATAAATTCTGATTTCAGTTTACAGTGCTAGTTTAACAGTGGGTCATTCAGGAACCCCTGCAGTAGGTTTTGAGATCCAGTAGAGCAGTGGCCAGTCTTTCCTGGGACACTGGCATTTGCTGTTCATTTCAGTCAGCGTTTTACTGGGAAAGAGTCCTTGGAACTTCTTTCTGCCTACTTTAATGAACCTGGGATAGCTTCAGTTCAGATTTTGCTATTTTGGGTGTATAGAAACTGAGCACTTTCCTGGGGGTAGCAAAAACTTTGTTGAAACAGAGAGAATTGCCTTACCAACCGTGACTAGGACTGATACGGTGCTGCAGTCAGCCAGACTTCAGGGAGTTGTTCCTTGATGGCAGGATTTGTGTGCCTTTACCTCATCTTTGAATTTGGTAAAAAGAATTTTTGTCTGATTTCCATTCTTTTTTTTTTTAAGACAGAATCTCACTCTGTCACCCAGCCTGGAGTGCAGTGGCGCGATCTCTGCTCACTGCCACCTCTGCCTCCCGGATTCAAGCTATTCGCCTGCCTTAGCCTCCTGAGTAGATGGGATACAGGCACCCACCACCATGCCTGGCTAATTTTTGTATTTTTAGTAGAGACGGGGATTTCACCATGTTGGCCAGGCTGGTCTCGAACTCCTGACCTCAAATGATCCACCTACCTCAGCTTCCCAAAGTGCTGGGATTACAGGCATAAGCCACCATGTCCAGCCTGATTTCCATTCTTTTAGAGTGTTAACTCCTTTTTGGTTTAGGAGCCCTGCAGAGAGAATACTTCTTCCATCTTAGGAGTAGGAATTCCTTGTATAGTCCAGATTTACAGTAAAGATCTGTCAAGAATAAATTGGGTTACATTAGTGTGTCATTTACTATGGTATCCTAGAATCACTTTAATTAGACCTGTTGTGGTGCTAGCTTGAGATTTTCTTGATACCAAATAAGAATACTATAATAGATATAAATAAAATACTTTTTAAATAAAAAAGTACTTCATGATTGTCAGCTTATTTTATTATAATTGGTGAGTCCATTCGTATATATAAAAGACTTGTATTTTACTAGATGTTTTGAGGTAGTAAACTTGTCAGACAGCGAAATAGCATGTCTTTTGTATTGGAAATGCTAGCTCTTTCACTTTATTACATGTTGGGCACTATTTGGCATTGTTTTGGCTGTTTTACAAGAGTCTCCTGCTCCAGGTGCCTCGTTAGCTATGTTAAGCACACAGTTTCTTATCTGAAAATTAAAAATGCATTGTGTGGTATACACCATAGAATACTATGCAGCCATAAAAAGGAACAAGATAATGTCCTTTGCAGGGACATGGATGGAACTGAAAGCCATTGTCTTCAGCAAACTAAGACAGAAACAGATAACCAAACACCACGTTTCACTTATGAATGGGAGCTGAACGATGAGAACACATGGACACACGGAGGGGAACAACACATACTGGGGCCTGTGGAGGGGGACGGAGGGAGGGAGAGCGGGAGAGAGCATAGGATAATAGCTGATGCATGCTGGGCTTAATATCTAGGTGATTGGTTGATCTGTGCAGCACACCACCATGGCTCAAGTTTACCTGTGTAACAAACCTGCACGTCCTGCATGTGTACCCCAGAACTTAAAATAAAAAAAGTTTAAAAACAGGAAAAAAATGCATTGTGCTGATAGTTTTTGCATATATCTCTTAGTGCTATTTCTCATATATAAGAACATACTAAGCCTATTAATATTTCTTGAATGGATGGACAAATGGACTTCAGTTAAAGAAACATTGAAGGTCAGGTGCAGTGACTCAGGCCTGTAATCCCAGCACTTTGGGAGGCCAAGGTGAGCGGATCACTTGAGGCCAGGAGTTCGAGACCAGCCTGGCCAACATGGTGAAACCCTATCTCTACTAAAATTATAAAAATTAGCTGGGTGTGGTGGTGCTCGCCTTTAATCCCAGCTACTTGGGAGGCTGAGGCACGTGAATTGCTTGAACCCAGGAGACAGAGGTTGCAGTGAGCTGAAACTGCACCACTGCACTCCAGCCTGGGTGATAGAGCAAGACCTTGTCTCAAAAAAAAAAAAAAATTGAATAAATTGCTTTTGAGCATTAATCTTGTGTCCTCATAGTACTTACTGTCTAATTAGGCTGCAGACACACAAACAGATAATTACAGGACAGTGTCTTATGTGCTACAGGGGAAAGATAGGGAATCATAGGAGCAAGAGCAAGTCCCTCTGGTGGTGTCAAGAAAGGTGTGGCTCTTCAGCTGAGCCTGGAAGGAAGAGTAGGAGTGTCCTTAGTAAATGCTAGGGGGATACATTTCTGACAAATGGAATGTCAAATATAGGGACTGCTGAGGCAAAAAGATTGAATATTGAGTTCTTTATAAAAACATTTTTACAGCATTGGTTGGATTTTAGGTAGAAACTATTCACACATGAGCAAGATGATTTCAATCACTCCATTGTGGTTATGATCATATATTTACCCTCTCTGTTGTTCTTGGTTTTCTTTTCTTTTCTTCTTTTTTTTTTTTTTTTTGAGATGGAGTTTCACTCTTGTTGCCCAGGCTAGAGTGCAATGGGGCGACCTCGGCTCCCCGCAATTCAAGCAATTCTCTTGCCTCAGCCTCCCGAGTAGCTGGGATTACAGGCATGGACCACCAGGCCCAGCTAACTTTATATTTTTCGTAGAGACGGGGTTTCTCCATGTTGGTCAGGCTGGTCATGAACTTCCTGGGGTTTTCAAAGGGACCTTTCTACACTTTCCTGGCTAGGTAGCACGTATTAGTGAGACATTCTAGACTTGAGCTGACACCTTTCATTTGAAGCCGGGGGAAATAAAGGGAGTAAATTTTCAAAGATATTAATTACAGTATCTTCTGATTATTGAGTGCCTACTATGCGTCAGAAGTTATTCACATACCATCTTCTTCTCCTCAAAAAACTTTGAGACAGGCCTTATTTATCTTTATTCCTGGATGAAGAAACTGAGATTGAGATGGTGAGGAATATGCCACATAGTTAAATAAGTAGCAAAAGTGGGATGAGAGTCCAGTGTTGTCTGACTTCAAAGCCCGTGTTCTTTCCACCAAAAACAAGACCCTTAGCAAAAACCCTGGAGTGTGACTACTGAGACTTTACCAGAGAATAAGCTTACAAAACAAGAGCATGAGTTGAGGGTGGCAGAAGATAGGATCCAATCTATAGAATAGGTGGAAAATTATACCTTTGAAGGTTTGTGCATTTTGGCTTGGAAAGTGATCAGGAGCCCCTAGTGAGCTTGAGTGGCAGAGTGACATGCACACTGGCAAGTTCTCTTTCACATGGGAGCGCCATACCAGACCCTTTTGTTGAAGAAAGAAGGAGTGTTTGGATAAGGTAAAGAATACTTGGCACTTAGAAAATTTAGAGGATAGACTAGAATTGTGAAGTCTTAGGCAAAACGTCTCTGTGGGGTCGGAGATCAAGAGGTGAAATTTAGTGTTGCAGAAAAGAAAGTGATTGGTCTTGGCACTGATTTTGCCCCTCATAACTTTTCAAGTTCTCAGATGTTGATGTTGGCAAGTATTTTTGTCTGGTGAGTGAAGAGTGGTGCTCTCTGCTGAGGAGTGCACAGGCCTGGAGAAGGCATGGGAATACACTTACAGGAAACGCTCTTGCCTCAGAAAGAACAGTGAGTCTGCTCAGGATGCCACTTTGCAGCTTAGGACAGGATCCCATTGCCTGTTTATATGTTTTATCAACATCTGTCTGATCACTGGATGGAAAGATTCAGACGATACCCACAAATGCCCTCTGTTGGGAGGCCCACAAGTTTCCATAATTGCAGTGGCAGAGGAAGAAGCCCCAGTGGGGTCTTATCAGTCCTTCTTAGAATTCACTGCCAGCCAGAACTGTTCTAGAGCCTTTGTTCTTCTGTTAATCATCTCTCTTGAACCTTAGTGGCTTTTCCCTCTCAGTGGTATAAATTTGACATTTATAAGGATGACTTACTATGATTTAGTTCCTACAGTTCTATAAAATTATAACTTTGGGAAGTAGTTCTTCATTCAATCTATGGAGCAGTAAACATTATCCCTTCTTTTAGCTTCTTTGAAAGCTTCCCTTAGCTCATTTGATTGAAAGGACTTGAGGCACTTTCCATAAAGAGGAAGATGGGTGAGTCACCCCCTACAGAGACCCTGCTGCCAGCTTTCCTTCACCTAAACATCTTGTACCAGTTCAGCGCTTAGCTTGTCATTCTGACATGGTTTTTTGCATAGTTCAGCTCTGATGTTTTCTGAGCAGCAGCATTAAATATCTCCCTGGAAAGAGATAAAAGTTTATACCCTTTCCTAAGGCAGATGTGTCATCAAGCGGGGGAGGACTCTGGCTGAGAGAAGTCACTCTTTTTGTTCCCTTTTGCCCTTGTTTTTAAGACTGTTGACACTTGAACCTTCTTCACTATTGGCTTATCCCCCAGTTTTTGCCCCATCTTTCAGGGAAATAACAGTCTATTATGAAATATTCACAGCCTAGTTGGAAACTTGATTTATGAGCTCTGAACACATAAAAATGATTGCATTTACCAACTTAATACTTTTGTTTCCTCATCTCAGAGTACAGTATACCTAGATAAAAAGATAGCTCTAACAGGAAGGTATAGTAAGTTGTGTTAGAGACAAATATTTTCTGGAAGCTAAAGTGCTTTCCTGAAAAAAACAGTCTATATTTGCAAATATCAAAGAGACAAGTGACTCTTCCTATTGGTGCTTAACATCTGCAATAGATCATAGAAAGGATGCACTGTCTGGTCACTCTATGGTTTTTCTTCACAAGCTCAGATTTCCAGAATCCTGTTAAGAAAAAGGTGAGTCAGAGGTTGCTAGCACTGCCTCCACACTGGTGGTCAGGAGAGGATTGTGCAAAAGCTTACCTCTCTGGAAATTGGATTCTAAAGGACTCAGTTTAAAAAATGTTGTTAAATTCTAATTAAGATTCAGAGAAGACATTTTTTATTTGAAAATAAAATCATCCATTGGTTTTCTATAACCCAAATGCATATTTGTAAAGAATACAAGATTAAAATGTCCCTAATGAACTGGGCCTGGAATAGGACCTCTGTTCATGAATAATCTGTATCATTGTATTGAGACAGGAAGGAGTGAGCTTCCCCCAAAAGTGACACACAGTTGAACTTGAACTCTTCCTTAGTGTAACCTCCCTCCCTCTTACTTCTCCCCTAAATGTTTCTAGCATTATGGGTTTGGTTTCTAATCTTATTTTGCTGTGCAAGCTGCAAGAATGTCAGGTTTTTCTGACTATTCCTCTGCCTTCTGATTACCCTTTTAAGCAATGCTGATTGCAGGAAATTGCTATGGTGCAAGGCGGGTGTCACAACACACAGTGATTAAAACCCGCATGTGTCATTCACTGCTTGATTGAAGTAATCATACAGAGGGGAAAAGCAGATGAAAAACCTGCTAAATGTGCAGAGGGGGTCTGCTTCTCATCATTTGGGTGTAAGGATTTTGAGTTCAAGAATAAAAACGAGTGTGAGTGAGGCTTGTGTTTTTAGTGATTTTGCTTCATTCTGAATCCTTAAAGCTTCTGAGCAAGGCCTGGGTCTCTGAACATGATCTAAGAAAAACAGGTTGTTGCTTTTTACCAAACACATGTTGCCCAATGTACGCGACTATAAAATAGTGGTTGAGCATATCAAGGGGAAAGATGCTAGAATGTAAATGGGACAAGCAGGTGAAAACAAAATGGGACAGGCCTGAATAGCTCAAAGTAAGTTCCTTATTTTTATTTTTATTTGAGACAGGGTCTCACTCTGTCACCCAGGCTGGAGTGCAGTGGCACGGTCTACTGCAGCCTTAACCTCCTGGGCTCAAGCAGTCCTCCCATCACAGCCTCCCTAGTAGCTGGGATTACAGGCATGATCCACCACACCCAGCCACCAGCTAAGTTCTTTTATCACTCTTTCCTTTGGTCTGCATGATGTTGAGAGAATAGTTAAATTGAAATGGCAGTTTTATTATTTTAGCCTTTTGTGACTCTAAAGCTATTTAAATTATTTGGTGGTTCTCAAAAGTATTAGTTCCATTTGGGCATAGCAATTTGGGCTAGATATAGTGGTCAGTATAGAAAATACAGTATAGGCCGGGCGCGGTGGCTCACACCTGTAATCCCAGCACTTTGGGAGGCTGAGGCAGGCGGATCACGAGGTCAGGAGATCGAGACCATCCTGGCTAACACAGTGAAACCCCGTCTCTACTAAAAATACAAAAAAATTAGCTGGGCGTAGTGGCGGGTGCCTGTAGTCCCAGCTGCTCGGGAGGCTGAGGCAGGAGAATGGTGTGAACCTGGGAGGTGGAGCTTGCAGTGAGCCGAGATCACGCCACTGCACTCCAGCCTGGGCGGCAGAGCGAGACTCCCGTCTCAAAAAAAAAAAAAAAAAAAGAAAAAGAAAATACAGTATAGAAAATATTTGAAACTTGATTTCTCCCTAAATCCTCATGACCAGTCCCATTCTCTTCCATCTTGTGCTCTTGTGCTGCTTTTGTGTGACTTAGCATGGGAAGAGTGGGCTGTGGACTCTCATTCCCATGAGACATAGGATCATCAGTGTTACTCAAACAAAGAACATTTTATGTCAAGCACCGTAACATGTGTTAAAGACATCCACTAATGATTTCTTACCTTTATGTCTCCCTCAGGTACAGAACCCTGGTATTTCTATTTAATTAATGGATTTCTGAATTTCAATGTAGGCTTCGCTTTGGCTCTCCTAGTCCTACCACTGACTTCTCTTATGGAATACTTGCTGCAGAGATTTCATGGTGAGTGGTCTAAGAGATACCTTGATACCAGATAGGTGTTTTGGGAGGAAAGAGCAAGTAATGATGTATACCAAGAACTGAAGGAAAATCCTACTTACTTCATTTTCCACATTCTTGCTATGGAAATCGTTGGCTTACTGAATTTTCAGTCTGTATTTGTTGATCTGTTGAACCCCTGTGAAGATTTGGTACATTGGGGCGAATTAAATTGACAGGAGGAAGAGCTTCATTATTACTTTAAGTGAGGAAGTCAATATAATTTACACAATCACCCAGGGAAGTAAAAATGTTTATAAAATCTCAGAAGGAGGCCGGGTGCGGTGGCTCACGCCTGTAATCCCAGCACTTTGGGAGGCCAAGGCGGTTGGATCACCTGAGGTCAGGAGTTAAAGACCAGCCTGGCCAACGTAGTGAAGCCCCATCTCTACTAAAAATACAAAAATTAGCCAGATGTGGTGGTGGGCGCCTGTAATCCCAGTTACTAGGGAGGCTGAGGCAGGAGAATTGCTTGAACCCAGGCAGAGGTTATAGTGAGCCAAGATCCTGCGCCATTGCACTCCAGCTGGGTGACAAGAGCAAAACTCCATCTCAAAAAAAAAAAAAAATCTCAGAAGAGAACAAGCCTATCTGAGTTTTCTGTCTTTTAAAGAAGTATGTATTAACCTGATAGGTTGCTTAAGGTAATCCATGAGATTTTTTCAAACAAAAGTATAAAATCTGAACCATAGAGGGATTTCCCCAAATTTGACATTGAAGTACAGGAAGCTTTGGACTTCCTCAGAAGCGTGATGCTTTTCTTTGTTCCTTTTTGTTTCTGTGTCTGCCTTATTGGAGAAAGTTTGGTTTGTCATTTGCTTTGCTTGCTCTGATTCTGTAGTGCACAGCTGGTGTTTTCTCAAGTTGTCGTGGCTCTGGATATCTAGTGCCTCTCGTTTCTTTTATGGAAGACAGATTTGAGCAGAAATTCATATGAGGTTTTGAAAAAGATTTAATTTCAGACTTTTCAGTCTGATTTGGATGCCATATGATCAGTTCCCCCATCCCACCTCCATTCTGCTTTTCTACTATTAATGGTTTATAATGAGTTCATTTTATTATAAGAATATTAGAGTAGCCTTCAGAGTCACTTTTTTTGGTGTTAGGACTTTTAACATAGCCATAATGCCATTATCCTAACAAAATTATCAGTAATTTCTTAATACCATCTAATACCCAGTTGATTTCCTAGATTGTCTGAAAAATAGCCTTTTATAGTTAGTTTAAAAGCAGAATCTCAACAAGGGTCACATACTGAATTTCGTGTCTTAAGCTTTTTAAGAAGACCCCCATCTTTCTTTCTTTCAAAGATTTCTTTAAAGAAACCAGGCCATCATCTTGCATAATGTCCCACATTTTAGACTCAGCTGTTTGCTCCCTTGAGGTGTTAACTTATTCCTCTATCCCTTCTATTTCTTAAGGATCACTTTTTCTTTTTTTGAAAATAGCTATTTTTCTGACTATAAAAATAATTTATGATAGCTGGGAGCAGTGGCACGTGCCTATAGTCCCAGCTGCCCGAGAGGCTAAGGTGGGAGGATTGCTTGAGCCCAGGAGTTCGAGACCACTCTGGGCAACATAGTGAGACCTGTGTCTCTGTTTTTAAAAACAATAATAATTATTTATGCTTTTGGAAAATTTGGAAATGCTTGTAACATCAGTAAAAAACCAGAATATTAAGCTGTTCCCTACAGTATGATAAAAATTTAAGTATAAAAATTGATTTAAAATGCATAAGGTATGCACATATCTACCTAGTAAGAAAACAAACATTTTCTGTTTTTTTCTTTATATTTTAATGGGATTTTTACAATAGAACCAATACCTTTTTAAGAGAAAAAAGACCAGGCACGGTGGCTCATGCCTATAATCCCAGTAGTTTGGGAGGATGAGGTGGAAGGATTGCTTGAACCCAGGAATTCAAGACCAGCCTGGGTGAGAGAGCAAGACCCTGTCACTACAAAAAAATTTAAAAATTGACCGGGCATGATGGTGCACACCTGTAGTCCCAGCTATTTGGGAGGCTGAGATGGGAGGATTGCTTAAGCCTAGGAGGTCAAGGCTACAGTCAGCCATGGTTGCGCCACTACACTCCAGCCTGGGTGACAGAGCGAGACCCTGTCTGAAGAGAAAAAAAGTCCCCCAAACCATAGAAAATTATAAAGAAGCAGGAAATAAATTACCCATGATTTCGTCATATCTAGCTGTGGTTGTGATTTTGTATATTTCATGGAGGACATTTCAAAATTTTTTGCCTTATTAAAAAAAAAGATTACTCGTTAGCCTTTAAGGTACAGAAGAGAAAAGGACCATTTACTTGTGGACAATAAATGGATTTATTTTATTCTAATTAAAAAACCCCACCTTAGACCAGGCACGGTGGCTCACGCCTGTAATCCCAGCATTTTGAGAGGCTGAGGCAGGTGGATCACCTGAGGTCAGGAGTTCAAGACCAGCACGGCCAACAGTGTGAAACCCTATCACTACTAAAAATATAGCAGTTAGCCTGGTGTGTTGATGTATGTCTGTAATCCCAGTTACTAAGGAGGCTGAGGCAGGAGAATCTTTGAACCTGCGAGGTGGAGGTTGCAGTGAGCCAAGATCGTGCCACTGCACTCCAGCCTGGGCGACAGAGAGAGACTCCATCTCAAAAAACAAACAAAAAAAAACCCTCCGCCTTAAAATCTACCTAGAAAGGTATATATCCTAAATATCTAAATAATCTAATTAATCTAAAATCCCATAATATCTTAGAGCAAAAGTTGAAAAAAAATCTTGTTATTGTAGTTCAAGAATTTTTTATCATTCCTAAAGAATTTCTGCGGTGATACTGATAGCCTGGGAATGCTAAATTAGGCATAGCTAAAGAGGGTCTTGATGATAGTCCTGATCTTGTAGCTTACCGTTAACATGGTGGACACCAGGTGGCGCTGTCTATCTACCATTTGCCTGGGTTTGCATTGCTCATTATCGCTCATGTAAACGCAGTAGGAGATGCCTTCACTGTGGGTTGCAGGCTTATCATTCATTGCTCATGTACCTAACACGGGAACTTTCCAGCAGGTTCTTGGGTTTTCGTGTTCATTACATTCCTTTAATTCTTTCACATGCTTTAAGTACATTTTTGTTCCAATTTGGGGATCTGGAGTGGATGCGTATTGCAAAAAATGGAGAGAAAACAATCACTGAACTTCCTTTAGGAGCATTTTTATGTTTGCTTTGAAGCAAACTCTGTCATTTGTGGCTTGATGAAAACCAGTAATGAGTTTGAGAATCCAACAATTTTTTTTTTTCCTTTGATCCATGGCTATTTGAACAGACTGATTGGTGTATAGATAAGAGGATTCATGTATCAAACACAACATCAGAATTAAAACCCAAGAAATGAATTTATGTTATGTTTTTGGTTAAACTCAGGAACCTTTTGTCTTAGTGGCAGGACTCGTTAAAGGAGACGGCTTTTTTTTTCTTCATCTAACGTGGAATTTATTAAGTTCTATTAGCCATTAACTTTACGTTCATTTGTGTCCTAACCAAATCTAGTATTGTGCTTGTTGTTAGAGTTTAGATCTCTTGGGAGAGCTAAGGAGTATATTCCTCTTTCCTTTTGATGCCTTTATTGCGTTGGAGAAAGTGTGAATACAAGATTAGAAACATTTTGTGGAGTGTCCTAGGGCATACTCCCAAATATGAGATCAAGATAACACTGAAACTAAATACGTCATTTTGTTCTAATATAATGAAAGATGAATATTTTTCTGTGTCTTGCAGTTCAGAATTTAGGCCACCCATATTGGCTTACTTTGGCTCCAATGTATATTTGGTTTATAATTTTCTTCATCCAGCCTCACAAAGAGGAGAGATTTCTTTTCCCTGTATATCCACTTATATGTCTCTGTGGTGCCGTGGCTCTCTCTGCACTTCAGGTAAGTTTCAGGGAGAAGTATATCTGCCTCATTCTTTTTTACTTTTTAAATAATTGCTCACAAAACTTAAGTGCAAATTACAGAATGCTTCCACCTAAGATATTTTATCCATAACATTAAACCTGATATAGATCATATTATTAAAGCTTCTTATATTGATTGCTTAGCTGTTTACCATACTCATATTTGCTGATTACATGTTTGCAGTGTTAATTTGTGTGTTACTTTGCCTCTGTTACCAACAGGAATCCAATTGCAGAATTCCATTCTGTGGCAGAGGTAATGGAACGTCTGCTCTTTGAACTGCTAGATCATAACAAAACTTGCTCAAGAGTTTGGGATCATAGCAGGCAGTTCACAGTATGGGGCACTTTGTAATCCTGGTTGAAAACCTGGCCAGGTCAATTCTCTGGCAGAGCTCATCTTAACTCTGTTTGAACAACTCTGTACTTACGGCTTCAGTACCCTCAGAACCCTGTATTGCCCTCTGCTACCATTTGCAGTTGGCAGAAAAAAAAATAATTAGGATGATAGGTTTTTTTCTTAACAGGTTTTTTGAGATATAATTCACAAACCATATAGTTTACCCATTTAAAGGGTATGATTCAGTGGTTTTTAGTCTATTCACAGATGTGTGCAACTGTCACCACAGTCAGTTTTAGATCAAAAAGCCTGTACCCTTTAGCTTTTGTTCCCCCATTCCCTTTCCCATATCTCCCCAACCCTAAATAACCATTACTCTACTTTCTATTCCTACAGATTTGCCTATTTTGAACATTTCCTATATATGGAAACATATGATATGTGGTCTTTTGTGACTGGCTTCTCTTAACATAATGTCTTCAAGGTTCATCAATATTAGTTGATAGTTTTGAAAAATAATTTTAATTATAAAAGTAATTGAACTTTATTGCAGATAATTTAGGAAGTGGTAAAAGAAAAATTAGTCCCATTAACCTAACAAAAACTCCTCCCAGTATTTTTGTATATCATATACCAAGGTTTGTTATAGTTGTGATAAGTATACATGTAACTTTATAGCCCTTCTAATTTAATATTATAACATTCTCTGTGGTTATCATTTTAGTAGCTGTACAATGTTCTGAGTCAGATATAATATATGACATTATTACGTAATATGTAATATATTGACTTGATTTTGTATAATATAATTATTGGATATAATTCATGGTAGAATTTAGGTTGCTTATTTATTCAGTATTATAAATACTGCTAGGATAAATATCTTCATTTAGATATTTGGATTGATTCCTCAGGATAGATTCCAAAAAATATGAAAAGGGTTCAAACAGATTTATGCCATTTGTTATATATTGGAAAATTGCTTTCTGAAAGTAGTTTCTGTCTAGAAGGGAAGGAAGGAAGGGAAGAAGTCTGAGTAGAAGGAACTCAAAGACAGCAGAATTCATGCATGCATGTTTATATTATATTCATCTAGTTTGCAAAGTCATTTAGCATATAATTAAGAGCATGTGCCTAGTGTTCTGTAAGGGGAATGCTTTTTTCTTATTTGGTCATGAGACCTTTTTTTTTGATACTAAAAGCTTTTATAAAAACTTTGATAGTAAAGATTAGTACTCATTGTATCAAAAACAAATTGAAATACTTTATATGTCAAAACTACCAAAAAACCATTGCTTAAATACTTAAAAAAATAACTTATTAGGACTATAAATGCTAGAAAAATATTCAAATAATTTCCTATGCAGCTAGTGAGATTTTATTGTTGGCAAGCCCTCTGCCTGGCCAAGACTGCAGGTAGTCTCAGAGGAGCTGGCTTTTATCTTAGAGTTTGGAGTAGGTACCTCACTGTTTGCAAATGCTCAGATCCCTAATAGAACCTCTTTTTTGGCTTCGCTTTTGATGTTACTGTGATGTCTTGTAATTATGTCTATTCTACAAGTTATATTTTCCTTTATCAGCCAGTTTTCTGTACTTCCAGAAATGTTACCACTTTGTGTTTCAACGATACCGCCTGGAGCACTATACTGTGACGTCGAATTGGCTGGCATTAGGAACTGTCTTCCTGTTCGGGCTTTTGTCGTTTTCTCGCTCTGTGGCACTGTTCAGAGGTAGACCTTCTAAGAATATCTTAACCTACACTGATGAGTCGCTTCCCCTTAGGTTTTACTTGATTCATGATTATATAATACACATTTGGCTTATACTAAGAAGCCATTTCTAAAAAGAGAACCTGTAGACTTAATATTAATGAGTGGGATGTGACTTCTACATCTTAGGATTGAAGAGAAGATTGAGAATTCCTTTTAGTGTGATTAACTGTACATTTTTTGTCTATTTTTTTTTTCTTTTAATGAATGCTGGTAAATTAAGGAAGCCTTAAACTTAAAATGCAAATTTGGGCTAACTTCTGATTATATTCTTTCTTATAATCATTGTTTGGATCCATAATATTAAAATATTAAAATATGCTCAAGGAAAATGAAGTTAAAAAGGAGAAAGAACAAAGAAAGGGGCAAGAAAGCCAATTATTTTTGGCAGAATAGGGCCTCTGCTGTAACCAGGTTCCCAGCTAGAGAGACATTTTATACATGTAGAGCAGGCTTCATGCTGGAATAGCTGTGGCCCTTCCTGCCTTTTAAATTTCATGTGGCTTAGAGTGTGACATTAATGTGCAGTATAATTAAAGTCAGAATCTCATCTTACTCATCTCTGGCTCTCACTAACTGTTCTCCCTTCCAGGATATCATGGGCCCCTTGATTTGTATCCAGAATTTTACCGAATTGCTACAGATCCAACCATCCACACTGTCCCAGAAGGCAGACCTGTGAATGTCTGTGTAGGAAAAGAGTGGTATCGATTTCCCAGCAGCTTCCTTCTTCCCGATAAGTAAGTCGTCCTTTAATTCCCAGGGTTTTAATGAAGGAGTAAATAGAGTAGTTCTATGTCAGTGTCTTTGAATTTTTGTTTTCTTTTGGAATTTTCACAGAGAGTTATTGAATTATTTACCACCTTAGAGAGCTGTGAGGCCTGTGTACTGTGTACCTGCCTCCTGTGTTCATTGGGCTCAGTAGACTGAGGGCTGGGTCTAGGTAGGCATTCTGTACTGCCCATAACTGCAGGTGTCTGGGAACTTCTGAAAATGCCCTGGGTCCTAGGCTTTTGCCAGTGGCTCTTCCTGGGGATTCATATTTACATTTCTATAATTACCTCATGTTAATCCACTTCTAAAAGTGGTCTAGAAACTCCAGCTAGAAGAGAGAAGACATTTTTGATCCAACAACAGTGAAAGTTCTCCACCATTATATGGACACTGGGGAAGCCTGTGGTTAAAATTTCTATACCAGTTTTCTTTATGCTTTCTGTGGTTCTGAGAGCGTAGGCCCTAAAGTTCTTTGCAGGTTGCTTCGTTTGGCCAGAGAAGAGTCCTGTGTAGGTTAAAGGGAAATCTGGTTGAGTCATGTTGCTCCATTTGAGAACTGGCTTCTTTAGCTTAGCTTTACTGGGTAGTAGTTTCTTATGCTTCATAAAGACCCTGTGTCAGTCATTAATTATTAAATTAAAACTTGTTTTTTAAGTGTTGACTTTGGCCTTTGCCTTTTACATTTGAAATAGTTTTATAGATAGAGATATGTTTGAGGGTTACTCTGGAACAAAGTATTTCTCCCATAGTGTGTTCTCAGTGCCATATTTCATTCTTTTTCTCTACACCTGATAATTTGCTTTATTTGATAAGTCTCTCTGCCCACATGGTAATTGACAATAAACATTGGCACTTCTCTGGTTTTTTGATGATATGACCATTTGGTTCTGAATTTCACTGCTAACAGTTGGTGAAATGGGTCAAGAGACAGCTAATTGTAAATTTCTCAATGATTTTGGACTGACTTGTGACCTCTGCCTCTATGCTCCCTGGTTGAGGTTTTAGCAGAAATATTTTTTCTTCAAGATAAATGTTTTTCACATAATTTTTTCTGGCTTGCTTGTTTCAAGTACATTTAGCAATATTATCCCCCTGTGTTTTTCTTATTTTCCTTGTGTTTCTGACAGTTGGCAGCTTCAGTTCATTCCATCAGAGTTCAGAGGTCAGTTACCAAAACCTTTTGCAGAAGGACCACTGGCTACCCGGATTGTTCCTACTGACATGAATGACCAGAATCTAGAAGAGCCATCCAGATATGTAAGGGCTACATTCTCTTCTTGCATCTCTGAAAAGAATTCTATGCCTAAAAGTCTATTGGCATGTATATTAGAGCATTGATAAAATGAGAATTTCTTAGAAAGCAATTTTTAAGGCCGGGTGCTGTGGCTCACACCTGTAATCCCAGCACTTTGGGAGACAGAGGTGGGATAATTGCTTGAGTTCAGAAGTTTGAGACCAGCCTGGGCAACACAGCAAGACTGTATCTCTACAAAAAATTAAAAAATAAGCCAGATGTGGTGGCTTGCGCCTGTAACTCCAGCCATTCAGAAGGCTGAGGCAGGAGGATCACTTGAGCCCAGGAGTTTAAGGCTACAGTGGGCCATGATTCCACTACTGCACTCCAGCCTGGGCAACAGAGTGAGACCCTGTCTTAGAAAAAACTGATACTTTTAGGGTGAGGGGTACAACAGCTTTTGTTGAAAAAGAGTAAACAGTATCACTTTTATTTTCAAATTAACCTCTTTATTTTCTGTGTAAAATGTAACCTCTTTATTTTCTGAATAATTTAATTTCGAAGCTTTTGGGTAGGCTGGAAGTTTTCCTGTGGTAGAAATTTGAACCATTATTCCGAAACTCATAGAATTCCTTGGCCTATTAAAATCCTCCATGGGGAACTTTCAAGTTATCAGGTGGACCTTTGACCTAGCTATTAGTATATGCCAATTTTAACAAATGAACAGTGAAGACTGTTTCCATGGTGAGTGCCAGGGAGCAACCTCTGTCAGGACCATGATCTTCTCCCTACTTGTCTTTACACATTCTGAGATCCCATGTGAATTTTATTTCAGTTCCTTTGAAAGATGACACTTTTGACATTTGATGCCTGTGAAATCTTTGATAATGGAAAAGGTAAGAAGTAATAAACATAATGCCTCTCTCGGGTCACAAAGACAGTGTAAGATCATTGTCTAGAATGATTAGAAAGCACATTTTTTGACAACCTGTCCGTTAAAGAAATATGTGACAGTTTAAATGTCAGCTATATTTAATTTACATTTTCTTATGTCATAAGCTTAAAATGTAAAATAGCGAGACGTCCAATTCTCTTTTGAAGCAAACCTGCAGCCACATCTGGTCTTTTGTCGCCCAGATTGGAGCTGGTTAGAGTTCCATGGAGACCCTCAGCGTTTATGAGTGAGATTCTTACTGTATGAGCTTTAACTAGAAGCTATGAAAATGGACATCTTAAAGACACAGCCTTGAGCTGTTCCCTTGTAAGACAGGCATTTCTACCACATGGTTTATATTGGAGCTTGATTCTTTTAATTTAAGGCTCTGATTCCTGTTACAATGGAAATACCCTTGAGCAGGGCAGACTGTTACGGGTCATTTTAATTTTATCTGCAGATATGAGTCTCCTGAGTGCAGGGCATCACTAGAGATGCTGGGCAGTCAAAGGATGGGAAAATACACTGTCATAGGGGGACAGTATGAATTCAGTGATGTTATCGGAGCTTTGCTTTAGGAAGAGGTAGTAAAAATGGAGTAGTAAAAAAAAAGAGCATAGACTTTAGAGTTGAGTAGGCCTGTATTCAAATCTCATCTCTGTTGCTAAACTTGATAACCTTGGGCAAATTAGTTAGCTTCTCTGTTTAATTTCAGTTCCTATCTGTAAAATGGCACCTACTTTGGAATTGTGATATTTGATACTATATCTCTCTTAGCAGAAATGCAATGTTCTTATGCTTGCACAAGTGTTCTTAATCTCATAATGGTATATTAGACAGATTTGAGGTAAAGAAACCCAATCTCTCACCTTCCTTCTTTTTATTTTCCCCCATCCTGGTAATTTTATTCCAGTGTGTCCAGACTCATCATTGCCTTTTCCACCCCAGTGACTTCGCTTACAGTGGTAACTGTGCCTGAACCACCCTTGTGTCTCTTCTCACACTGTCAAAATTATCTTCCTCTTTGAAGCGAACTATTTAAGTCCATATTGAGCAGACCTTCCTTTAAGTGTCTTCAGTATTTATGTGTGCAGTTCATTTAGCCATTTAATTATCTTGGTCTGATTTAAGTATTTCTGATACCATATCTTTCCCCATCAAATGTGTGAATGCTATGAAGAGAATGACTGCACTTTGTTGCTTTTGTGTTCACCATAGTGTCTAGGACAGTGTCATATACCCAGTAGTTCACTTTTATGTGCTTTCTCAATGGGTAATGAATATTCATTGTCATTGTGGTAATGTTGTTGAGAGAAAGCTGGCTAGAAAATCTGTAGTGGCCTTTTGCACATTTCTTATGCTTTTATCACTGGTTGTCTTAGTTATATCATATTTCCATATTCTCTGCTGTCAGACAGTGTTAAATTTGATTAAATGACTCTATATGAGCTTTGCCCAAAAGGTAATGATTTTTCAGAATGCCAATAGGAATCACCAAAATGCTGGCTGATAAAAGCAGGGACAAACAAGTGATTTATGTCTGCCGGGTGGCAGCTGTGTCTAGCCCTTTGAATGCGAGGATTTTTTTGCTTATCTGTGGTGACAGAATCATGAAAATTAGGCATGGACCTTTTTTGTTAGTTCATCAGCTTTTGTTAGTGATAGTGTATTTGATGTGTGGCCCGAGACAATTCTTCTTCCAGTGTGGCCCGGGGAAGCCAAAAGGTTGGACATCCATAGATAGTGTCTGTCATTGCACCCATCCACATTCCTGAAGATGAGATTTCCTGCAGAGTTGCCTTTGTGCTCTAGTTTCAGTGATTCTCCTTCATGGGGGTCAGGGGTGGGGTGTTCTCCAAATCCAGTCTACTCACCTTTGACCCTTTGGAAGTAGCAGGGGTGTTTGCTGGCTTACTACTCTGTTTTTCATCATCCACTTGACTCTCATTCTGGCTTACTATTCATTCTACATGAACTATGATAAGGGATTTACCTCTTTCAGTTAACTGTTTAAAAAGATATTTGTTTTCCTGTGATAGTAAAAGTAATATATATTCATCGTAAAATAATGAAAGTTATAGACAAGAAAAAAATCAATCTGTCATCTCATTACCCAGGTATTACTACTGTTGCCATTTTGGTGTTTCTTTCCTTTCACTTTTTCCCCTTTGCATAGATATGCGCATTTGTATGTAAACAAAAGTCACAATTATTTTTTAAAGGGTGTTACATTTAATTGTTTAAGAAATAGTGCCAGGATCATGACTGTAATGCCCATGACTTTGCCCCATGTATAGAAGGACATGTTGTACAATGCTTATGTTTGTTACTTTTGGCATAAGTCCTGGTTTTTTGTCCAGGTTTATTCAAGAAGACAAAACAATGACATTCTCTATCTTTCTTGTGCATGCTAAATAGCAGCATTATTTTTACCTGCCCTTTAGCTCTGAGTGGCAGGTTTTAGCCAGGCTTTGGCTTCTGTGCTAAGTCCTCCAGCCTGTCCTGTTTCTATTCTGCATGGAAACGAGGAAGGATGTATGACTTTTTTTATTTCACTATTTTCTTTACCTCTGGGCTAATCAATAATTAGGAGTGAATAAGTGTAAAGGTTCTGTGGTTTGTACTGTACCATTATAACTATATTGCAGAAATAATGTTTTTGCTGCATATTTTTTCATGGTAAGTATTGAGTAGCTATTGAATATCTCATTATTGAACAGGAAGCATTTACAGGGGTACATGCCAAGATTGCCAAGATTTTCTCCCAGAATCAAGGTTTAAATTTGGAAGATACATTCAGTGTCCCCTCTTTAGTTCTTGAAAAATTCAAATTTTTGTTCACTATTTCAAGGTGAATGGTACACTTCCAGCTCCAAATCTGGTATATGATTTAGGAGCTACCTAGTCAGTGGATGAAACCTTGGAGGAAAAAACAGCTCTTCAGGAGGGAGCTTACAGAAAAAGACTTTTTTCTGACTTTAATGCTTAAGCCGACTTGCTGGAAGTTTTCCTGTTTTCTTTCTTTTTTAAGAGACTGTATCTTGTTCTGTCACCCAGGCTGGAGTGCAGTGGTGCCATCATAGCTCACTGTAACCTCAAATTCTTGGGTTCAAGTGATCCTCCCACTTCAAGCTTCTGAGTAGCTAGGACTACAGGCATGCATCACCATGCACAGTTAATAGTTTTATTTTTTCTAGAAACAAAGTCTTGCTGTGTTGTCCAGGCTGGTCTCAAGCGATCCTATTGTTTTGCCCTCTCAAAGAACTGGGATTATAGGCATTAGCCACCGTGCCTGTCCTCCATCTGTTATCCTTGAAAACATAGATTGGTCACTGATTTTTTTCCTAAGCAGTAATATAGTCAGTTCTACTACAATAAGATATAAAATTACCAAAAATTATTATGCAGTAAAAACCACAAAGCTTGTTGGGAAAACGGAGTTAGGGACACGATACTTAAAAAACTTTGTCAGTTGAAAAAGAGATTAGGCCAGGCGCGATGGCTCACGCCTGTAATTTAACACTTTGGGAGGCCGAGGCGGGTGGATCACGAGGTCAGGAGATCGAGACCATCCTGGCTAACACAGTGAAACCCCATCTCTACTAAAAGTACAAAAAATTAGCCGGGCATGGTGGCAGGCACCTGTAGTCCCAGCTACTCAGGAGGCTGAGGCAAGAGAATGGCGTGAACCCAGGAGGTGGAGCTTGTAGTGAGCCGAGATCTTGCCTCTGTACTCTAGCCTGGGCAACAGTGCAAGACTCCATCTCAGAAAAAAAAAAAAAAAAAAGATATTAAAAATTAGCCATGCATGATGGCTCATGCCTATAATTCTAGTACTTTGGGAGGCTGAGGCAGGAGGATAGCTGGAGGCCAGGAGTTTGAGACAACATAGGGTGATTCCATCTCTACAAAAATAAATAAATAAATTAGCTAGGTATGGTGGCTCATGCCTGTAGTCCTAGCTACTCAAAGGCTGAGGTAGGAGGATTGCTTGAGCCCAGGAGTTTGAGGCTACAGTGAGCTACAATCATGCCACTACACTCCAGCCTGGACAACATAGCAAGACCCTGTCTCTGAAAAAAATAAAAA